AACAATAAAACGAAATACGAAATGTAACTTACCCAGATATTTTGGCTTGTTTCTTGTTTCTTGTCTCTTGTATTTTATACGTCGACAACACAATGAAAATGCCTTTATTTAATATTCAATTTTGTGAATATTGAGACAATAAAGTGTGATCTTCTGAAGTGCTCGATCGGTCTTTTAGCAACTAAACGAACAAACTGAACATTTAACAGCAGGGCGTGCGTAATCTAATTCTTAATTGAATACCATAAAGTTCATATGGAAATAAGTACTTGAAGGCAAATTAATTGCAAATCACATGAATACATTTTAAAATGTTTGTTTTACATTTGTCTGTTTGCATTATTGCTGTTTTCTAAAGAAATAAAAGATGATTGTGTTTGCACTGGCTTAGGTAAATCGAGGAGACGTTTATGAGAACTATCAAGCGGGTAAAAGGTGCAACCATCGACAACTCGACCTTCGGTCTCAAGCTTTCACTGATTTTCTCTCAGTTCTCTAAGTCTCCTCAGTTTGTATAAGCCTTTAAATAAAAACATAAATAAGTCAAGAAACTATGAGAGACAGGCAGACTGAGGTCAAGTCAAGGTCTCCAAAAAGTATTCCTAAAATTAAAATGTTGTGTATTGAAATGTTCAAAAGATGAAAGGTCTATTTCTTTGACCATCCTGTGCAAACATATATTTTATATATTTTGAAAAACAAGATGAAGAGCTATGACTTGTATAATGGTAACAATACCATTATCCAGACAGGACACAGTAGTTAGTGGAACTGAGGAAGGTGGGACAAACCTGATAAGGAACTGTTTAGTTACACAACGTGACTGGAGCAGATTGAGCAAATGTTTCGGATCTCGTGGTGTGTGGATAATGTCTTTGTTGACTGTAACAATTAGATAAATCATAAGACCACAAGAGATTTGTTAAGGACTGAATTTAAATTTGTGTATAGGTGTAACACAGGTGTAACATAATAACGTTCATTATCTCTAATACTTCATTAAAAGAAAATTTAAAGCAAATCACTCTTTTATAGCAAACTTTATCTAACCACACAATGCAATTAACATCTCGACCTTCTTAGGATTAATGGAAATGTTTAATTCACTTTATCAATGCTCAATCAAATGCTCCAATCTTGTTATCATATGTATTTTAGTATTTCTATAATTTCGTAAAAGCACTATTGCAAATACACATTTAATATAAACGACAACTTTTTGAAAATAGACATGTTCGACATGTCATGATGCCATCAGTATGAGTGAAATAATAGGTGATACAAGGTTTATAAAAGTAATATGATACATAAATTACAACAATAAAAAGGAAATAAGATAAATTAATGGGGAGCGTCCGTGCGTATTATATACTAAATATTGTATTGAATTTAAAAACTTGAACATTGAGGACAGGGTTAAGTTTGTTAAAGTGGAGTGCTTCTTTGATTTTAAGGGTGAATGAGGTGTCGGCAATGTTGATGATTTTGAAGCAAGAGGGTGAATAGTTGGTTTGCATGAGTCGGTAGATATGAGTTTTTGTCTGTTGTGGTATGTTCCCTCATTCTGGTGGATAAATGGCGCGAAATTTCGCCAATGTATCGGGAATTTTCATTTCCAAATAACAACTCTATACTTCAAACTACCATACATCGGACATTACTCACATACAACGCAGACTTACAAACATTATGAAACGCTTCTGTACAGATATTGACATTCGACTAATTTTCACATCATTCAAAATCAAAACCTTTTCTCATTCAAAGACCAATCCTGATTCAATTAAATCTATGGTGGTATGAATTCCATTGCGCGGGATGTAATTCCCGATACATTGGCAAAACTTCGCGCCATTTATCCACCAGAATGAGGGAACATACCACAACAGACAAAAACTCTCATATCTACCGACTCATGCAAAACCAACTATTCACCCTCTTGTTTCAAAATCATCGACACTGCCGACACCTCATTCACCTTTAAAATCAAAGAAGCACTCCACATTAACAAAACTAAACCTGACCTCAATGTTCAACTTTTTAAATTCAATACAATATTTAGTTTATAATACGCTCGGACGCTCCTCATTAATTTATCTTATTTCCTTTTTATTGTTGTAATTTATGTATCATATTACTTTTATATAAACCTTGTATCACCTATTATTTCACTCATACTGAAGATGGCATCATGACATGTCGAAACATGTCTATTTTCAAAAGTTGTCGTTTATATTAAATGTGTATTGGCAATAGTGCTTTTACGAAATTATAGAAATACTAAAATACATATGATAACAAGATTGAAGCATTTTGATTGAGCATTGGATAAATTGAATTAAACATTTCCATTAACTCTAAGGCGAACTCGAGATGTTAATTGCATTGTGTGGTTAGAGCTAAAGTTTGCTATAAAGAGCGATTTGCTTAAATTTTCTTTTAAAGAAGTATCAGAGATAATGAACGTTATTATGTTACACCTGTGTTACACTATACACAAAATTTAAATTCAGTCCTTAACAAAAATCTCTTGTGGTCTTATGATTTATCTGTTGCCACAGTCAACAAGACATTATCCACACACCACGAGATCCGGAAACATTTGCTCAATCTGCCCAGTCGTTGTGTAACTAAACAGTTCCTCATCAGGTTTGTCCCACCTTCCTCAGTTCCACTAACTACTGTGTCATGTCTGGATAATGGTATTGTTACCATTATACAAGTCATAGCTCTTCTCATCTTGTTTTTCAAAAATATATAAAATGGGATGGTCAAAGAAATAGACCTTTCATCTTTTGAACATTTTACACAACATTTTAATTTTAGGAATACTTTTTGGAGACCTTGACTTGACCTCAGTCCGCCTGTCTCTACATAGTTTTCTGACTTATTTATGTTTTATTTAAAAGGCTTATACAAACTGAGGACTTAGGAGAACTTGAGAGAAAATCAGTGAAAGCTTGAGACCGAAGGTCGAGTTGTCGATGGTTGCACTTTTACCGCTTGATACTTCTCATAAACGTCTCCTCGATTTACCTAAGCCAGTGCAAACACAATCATCTTTTATTTCTTTAGAAACAGCAATAATGCAAACAGACAAATGTAAAACAAACATTTTAAAATGTATTCATGTGATTTGCAATTAATTTTCCTTCAAGTACTTATTTCCATATGAACTTTATGGTATTCAATTAGATTGCGCCCCCCACTTTGGGAGGAGCCTTTTATGCATATTTACCTATGAATATCAGAATTTGTTTGAATTTGATACTGTCACACCTTAAAATAAACTCCTTAGTGCAAACTGCTTAGCAACAGCAATCGAACATTCGAAAGTGAACATGTTTCTTACTTAGTTGAGCTGTTGAATGTTCAGTTTGTTGGTAGACCGATCGAGCACTTCAGAAGATCACACTTTAGCTGTCGTCTCAATATCTAGAAAATTAAATATTAAATACAAGAGACAAAAAGCCAAAGAAACAAGCCAAAATATCTGGGTGAGTCACATTTCGTATTTCGTTTATTGTTAATGCACATGTACTTGCTCTTGTAATCTTAAGAAAAAGATTGTTTTGCTGTAAGGTGCTGGCGTAAATATTCATTACACTTGCAAGACGCCATCACGCCGTGCATTGAATTCGCATTACGAAAATTATGGCGATTTAAATTCTGCGTAAAAGGATGTCACAAGAATAATATTTCCATAAAGGCAAATTTTGTTTGTACAAGTCATATTTTTCATCAAAAGCAGAAACGATGCTGAAACATAAGACAACTGACCTCCGTATAAAGTAAACATTTTAGTTTAAACGCTTCGACAAAGACAAAGCGTTAAATAAGCCGTTCGGTTTTATTCACTATGATGATATGATGTATGAATTTCGAGTTCAACGTTATATGACTTCCATGTACCCATATTGGTTTTCCGTCGGATGAAGTTAATTGTGATAACTCTTTGAATGTCTTCGTGGTGACAAATTTGAATATCGCCTAAAAACAATTGCCATAGCGAATGGACTGAGACCAAATAAAACCACGAAACCCTAGATAAAACCGAAAAAACTAAACAGAGAAAACGAAGAAAACATCAAGAGTTCGGAAAAGAACTATTTTAGCTTTGCATTTAGGCAAACAACTCGTCAGTTGTGAACATTTGTTATCTGTTTGGGTGAATCAACTTGTATATATATGATTGGTTTTGTTGATGACTCATCCAGCATGGGAGATGGGTCATCAAAATAAAGCCAATTTGAAAATGAACTACTTCTTAGTTTCCCTCAGTGAGAAACTAATTTTGTTTAGTTACTTTAAACAGGTCGACTAAACCGGACTGTTTCTGCTTATTGCATGCCTAGGTCGTATGGTCTAAGTATTACCATGGGAATTTATGCAATAAAGGTCACCGAACCTGACTGAGGCTTCCTGAGAGTTAATCCGGCCCTGGTTATATATGTATCATTATGCTATGTCTTTTATTTTCGTTGATCTATGCTCCTGCCTCCAGTAATACTTTGCTTTTCTACTCAAATCAATTTATTTCTTTCAACTTGTGAGTTTCTTTTATCGAATTGATGACCTTCCAAGTTTGTTTAATGTAGTAAAGTGTTGCAATTCGCTGTGAAATGCAAGTCTATCAACAATCGTAATAGAAAATACACTCAAACTGAAACTGTGAACTTATTACTTGATAATGATAGAGTTAGAATCGAAAGTTTTGAAAGAAAAATCATATTCGTTATATTTGTTTCCAAATTAATTAAGAAGAAAGAAACAGATAATTGATTTTATTAAAGAATGCATTTGAAATACTGCATTTACGGATTGAGCATCAAAGTATTCTGTAGATGATGTGGGTGCAGCTTGCTATATGGTGTGGTTGAAATTGAAAATGGTGCTCTTAACTCTAATGAATTCTAAAGCATTACATAATATTTGTATTTTTTAGGAAAATAATGAAGGCAAGTTTAAAATTTTAATCATGGCATTTCAATATTTATTTCATTTTGCAGAGGTACATAACTTTTACAACCATGCATCTATTGTTTTTATAATGGTTTTGACATATTAATATCAATTTCAATTTCAGGAACAATAACATCTCCACCTGATGGTCAAGATTTGTATTTTTACCTGGATCTTCTCACAATATAACTTGGACATTAAATGTTACTGGAAACATTAATTTATGGACTTGGGGTTTATACCTCGTGGTTCATCTTCCCCTCAACAAATTGCAAGATTATTCCTATTAGTGACAGACTCAATATTCACCATCACCTTTAACAGTGGAAGTTTTTAAATCTGGAACTTTGTGGCTGAAGAATGTAAATCAAAGTTACAATGGTGAATTTACATTAGCTATTTCAACTGTTCTTCCTACTCTTCGATCAAGAGTAAATGTTTATATTGCTGGTATGTTTAAATTATTTCAGTCTTTCTTGTGTTGTATGCATTGTTCTGAGTATTTAATGGGGAAACTTGGCCTGAAAATTTTCCAAAAACGTTATTACAGTTACTTGTTGTATTTAGAAATTAAACTGGTGCAGCTCAGTAAGTTAGAATAATATTGCCAACTTAGGAATCTTATTCATATAGCTACATTTAAAACAATCCAAATGGTAAAAATACAACCACAACACTTTAAACAAGGTGATGGCTCTTTGTGGTATTGCATGTCTATAAATTGTAAAATCAACAAATACATAGCTTTAATTTACACAAAAATGTATACATTTAGGTAGTCAGTAATTAGGCCCTCCTCTAGTTTGAATAACTGGATTAATGCGCTTTGGCATAGATGTAGTTAGTCTGGGCACAGTTGTAAAGCTGATTTCAACTCATCAATATTTTTGAAAAGTAAGAATTGTACCGATTTCTTCACAACTGCCCAAAGTTGTGATTGGTGTTGAATATGGTGAATTAATTGGCTATACAAGTTTGGCCAAACTCGTTAGTAATCAATTGGTATGAATATTTTACATTCAGCTCTGCCCAGCTGAATTCGTTTGAAAATACAATATTCAGCAATTATTGAAAGAGGTTGTGTGTAATATGAAGAATTATAAAGGCCTCGGTATATTTAACTGCTGGCAGAAGATCTACCAACTCCCAAAATTAAGTTCTCTTGTGACAGAAAATTAGATTAATTGTAATGAAATGTTCTTCTGATTCATGCAGGTTTTTACTTCTGACTTGTTGAGTGATATATGTTTTGTATATGAGAAAAGAAAGATTTAAAGACTCGTTTTAAAACATACGTAGGCAAATTGATAACTTTATCCAACTCTTTTCTGTCTTCCAGACCTAACGTGTGGCTCCTAAATAAATATGGCAACAAGTAAATGAATTTTGAGTCTAAGCCCAAATTAACACCAAGATGTTATTTATAGTCACAGCAAATTTTCCCATATTTTAAAATGTTGCTCTCCTATGTGTTACCAGATAAATTTGACTGTGCTTATCAAAACGGACTAATGACAACATATATTTAAGTGATGAAAATTTTATGCTTTTAATTTCAGTGAAACCAAATGTTGTACACAATTGTTCAAATCTTCTGGTTGTGAATGAAGGTGATAATGTGTCATGTGTATGTAGAGGTGAAGGAGGTAACCCTCCTGCTAATGTCACATGGTTTGATAAAAATAACAACATATTTGGTGATGATGTTGGAGTTGTAAGTAAGACATTAGTAATCACTAATGTTACAATGAATGATGGTGGAAATTACAGATGTAAAGCACAAAGTTATAATGATCCACGTTTTAGAGATGAAAATCCATTGAAATACAGAAAAGCTGCTTGTAAGTTTCATAATTTTGTTTCAAATTTCATTTTCGACGTTTGCAATTATAAAAACCTATAAAGACAGTAGAATATGAATTTTATTCTTTACAGATCCACCACAACAAACCAATATTACCATCAGTCCAATGTCAGTAAAAGATCATAAAGTGACAATAACCTGTGAATCAGATGGTTATCCTGAACCAACCTACACAATTTATCATAATGGTACTGGTAATATGCGTGTTGTCAGTAATGACAGGACATACATCATTCAATCTGTCAACTTCAATAACGCTGGTTCATATCGTTGTGAAGCAAAGAATAAACATGGAAGTGATTTATCTGATGTTAAAATCTGACTGTCAGCCGAGGTAACTTTAAGAATCTCAGTTTATCTCTTGTTGGACTTTTATTTTCATTATATACGAGCTATTTTGGTGGCAAAAATTGACGGGCTATGGTCATCTTAAAATATTAATGAAGTTCTTTTACTTCGCTGCACTTAAAACAGTCGTATGAAATTATATTAAACACTAGAAGATTGCTACGAATGCAACAGCTTTTCATTTTATTGCCGCACCAACTCAAGACTTTAGTTTCCGTCCGTTTCTTTATGAGATTGAACTATAGGTAGGCAGAAACATAACTTGTAGCGTACACTAAGTTGAGTGAGTACGCACATAACAAGAGAATCACAGCGTTATATCAATATCGCCAAAAAATACAGAAGTTTTCGTCGTTCAGTCGTCGATACAAACTAAAGTTTAAGTTAGGGGCTTAAAGAAAATACTGTTGTTTCTAGTGTGGTGAAGTAAATGTAGGGAGTTCAGTAACATTAACCATATTATTTCTTGCTATATGTATACATTCTTCAGTAAGCGTAAGTAAAAAAAATTTCACCATATCTGTATTTCATTTCAACGGTATTAAAGTTGCCTTAAACGTTAATTGCCTTGAGTTTATTAATTTAAATAGATTACTTGGCGCTTAAACTATTTTCATGTATTTCATGGCACTCTAAATGTGTTTTAACATACTATAAAAAACAGAAATAAAAGAATTTCATTAATGATGTAATTCTAATACGAACCATTTCTGTCAATGTGCTAGACCAACAAAGTTCTTCCAGTTCATTGCCGACAATGTCTTCATCGATGACCATTTTGCCATCAACTAGTTCCGCTCCCACTAATAACGGTAATTTTAACGTTTTCTGTTGTTAATTTCAAGTGGAAATATCATTTTGGAAATGTATCTTTAATGTTTTAAAGCTCTTTAAAATTCAGCAATTTTGTTCCCATTTAGGACGCTAACATACTTTAGTGTTCCTTTTTGCTTATGACAATTGTTTTAGTCTGGCTTTTGGCTATTTTAAATATTTGTTTGACCTAGTAGTTATTAATAACACTGTTGTTTGATAGAATTTATCAAAGTTCGCAAAGATGGCGACGGTGTATCAAACATCGGTCTTATCATTGGTATTGTCGTTGGAATGTTGTTCCTTCTCGCTATTCTAGTTGTCATTTTCTGCTGTTATAAATCAAAGCAAATGAAGTTCAACATAAGAATTTTTAATTAATTTTAATTTCAAACACTGCTGCATAAAACATTCATAAAACATTCATATAAGAATTTTCATGGTTGGAAACGTTGAGTAGATTTCTTTTATTTAAAAGCTGTCGTTTATGTCAAATTATTAACCATCTACTTTGTCTTCTTTTATTTGTAGAAAATGGATACCAGTAAGTGAATTGTTTGTTTTAATTGTGTTTGTATAATTTGTAATGGTGATAGTGTTTTGTCGCATGTATCAGTTATAAGGAAATATCGAACACGACGGGCCATTTGGCGCCGTGGTGAAAATAACGTAAAATAATGTGAGAAGGTCGTGTATAATTAAGTTTAACGTCTCATTGTTCGTGCTGTGAAGAACTTTGAGTAACTGTTTTGTTTACTATTAAGTTTTTCTCAGTTTCGTCCATATCATGTTCAAAATTTAATCATGGTTGTTAATGTTGCAGTGGTGAAAATGGTGTTGAACCTTTACCTGGAGCTAATAATGAACAACCCAATCATTATGAAGAGGTTGGAGAACTTAGTAGAGAAAATCCCTATAAATCTGTTGCTAATAAATATGAAACAGTAAATAATCCATCAACAAGTGATGAAAGTAAACCACCACCAAGTAAAGCAGCACCACATGTGTATGCCTCGATCAATAGAGAAAATAGAGAAGGAAATCCGGTTTTATGTTTGTAAATGATGATCGTCCAGGTTAATGAAGTCCTGAGAAGGACTGTTTTTGATGTTGTTGAGACGTTTGACAACCTTAGCGGTAATTATCTTCAAGTCATTTTGACTCTAAATGACCTATCAATAACTTCTTATCTTTCAATCCTTCTCAAGACATTAACTGGACGATCGTAAACATATTTGTCACACTTTATTGAAATCCGGTTTTATTGTGGATCTTTGTCATTTATTATTTACAAATAGGATTTGTGCATTTATTTTGTTTTGTTGGATTGGTGATGATTTTGAATGCATCATGGAGATTATGGGGTGTTAAAAATTTCTCATATTTGAAAACACCCGCATTTGGAATTTATACTATTCAGCAATACATTGATCCCCAAAGACCTGTAAACGCAATTGAAAACAATACGTACGGTGATTTCCATTGAAACTTGATTTTACATAGGCGATTCTCTCTAGTAAACGCTTTGACTCAAATAGTCGCACCCCACACATTGCCATTGTTAACAGTGGGCTATCGATTGGGCTAAGAAACCGTATATTTAGTCTTGACTTTGTTTTTATTTGTTTTTGTTTTTTTTGGTGATAGAGAAACCGTATATTTAAGAAACCGCATATTTAGTCTTGACTTTGTTTTATTTGTTTTGTTTTTGGTGATAGAGAATGATGTAAACGTCTTTCTATTTAACTCCTTGTGTCAATTGAAGGCCCCCTCCTTTCTAGGCTGCTATTTCATTTATTTAACGTCCTGTGTTTATTAGGTCATTTGATGTATAAAAACCTATAAATATTTTATCATCTTATGTATATATGATAAAATATATCGTTAAACTGATAAGTTTCTCCGATTTTTATATATAATTATATATTGAGCTTTCGACTCGATGCTTCCTGCCTTCAGAATTTATGAAGTTATTAGCTTATTACAATCCGGCGAAACTTTCAATTTTGAACAAAATTATGTCTGATTACAAATTTTGAAGCTGATAAAATATACATATACAATGACAATATATACGTATGTTTTTATTTAGTTACACTCCTCTGTTGAGTCAGACAAAGGGCGTCCTGCACCAACTCCATATGCCATTACTCCAATGAGGAGTAAACCGGCACCTGTCGAGGAAAAGACGACAAGACATACGATGACAAAAGGAGATGAAAAGATGGAATAGTAAGTTTTATCTTTTGGAAAAGATCCACAAAGCTCGACGTCATTAGTTGATGGTTGAAGAAAAAAGTAAAAATAGATTCATTTGTTGAATATTTTTTTAAAAAATTCCGAAAACATGTTTTCTTTTATCTTATTACGGTAGTTTAATTCTTATTATAAATTTCCTTTAGAACTGGCGATCGTCGTTAATAACAACTAGAATTACGTAAAGACTGTTACTACATTTTATAAAGTTTTACTTTGTTCTTCGTTGTATAATCTAGATTTGATCTCTAAACAGTATTAAACCGAACACTTTATGATTGTGTCTGTGTACATAATCTTTAGCCATGAACAAACTTGAATCTTGGCATCTATGCTACAGTTTGTGAATATTTTACTTTCCTTTATAAGCAACAACATTACACACTGACTTTAACACAGCATTTTGAATAGAATAGTTTTAATCGTACTTTTACTTTTATTATTTTAATTATCATGGTTAAACCATTTAAACTTTTATTTACATAGAATTTAAGTGTAGAAATTAGATAGAAAAATCAAAGCAATGTCAAGAATTGGGATGGCAAACTCTTTAAATTACTTCTTTACGATTGAATGATTTCATATGCAAACCTTGTCTTTTGGTAGTAAAGTAGTTAAGAAAGTGCTTCTCTACATATCAGGTATTAAATAAAGTTAGCAACAGTAAGAAATATAAGTATAAATATGTTCAACCGTCTTCTAGTAAGCAAAAACGTTAAAAAACGTTAAGACTGACATTATCCACGGTTCTGGCCTTACTCGATCTCATTTTCCAGATGAATATGTTTGTGATTTTTTAAAGAGCAGCTTTTGCGGATGCAAATATATATTTAGTTGAACATAAAGAAAACGCTGCCTCTGGCCTGCACTTCTCTGATGATTAAACAATTTCTGTTTTTGATGACCTAAACAAGTCCCAACAGCGTCAATTTTTTTTATTAAATGTCCCCACAGTGTTTACACACTTTTATACTTGTCCCAACTGTGTTTACACTTTACGAGTCCCCATTAGGACGTTTTCATAATTACAACACGTCCCAGAATGATGAAAAGTGTAGTCCCAGAATGATGAAAAAAGTGAAGTCCCAGAATGATGTGCTATGCAGGTATGTGTCTTTGTAACAAGTAATAGATTTCAAAGAAACTTGAAATACGTCAGTTTATACATATTCCTCTCTCCCCACCATTAACGATCTTGCCACGTGTCTGTCGTAAAAGAAATTGTGAAATTTATCATGAAAAATGTTTTGCTAATTCTTAGATGTACATACAAATAAGGATTAACCAATAGATCTTATTTTGCTTTGACTTAAAATGATATAATCATTAAGTTTTATCTTTACGCTGTTGACAACTCTTGCATGTTTGTTTGTCAAGGCGGAAAACGTTGATTGCTATTAAAGAAGACATATTCTATAAATGTCACGAAAACGTCTAAAACTTCAACTCCCGTGTCACAAATGAAAGTATCAAGTGTAAAGTAAAGATTGACTTTCATAATTTATTAGTAGCTACTATATAAAAGCACGTCAAATCTTTGTTGCCATTATTTGGAAACAAGATCTTGGAGGAGTTACCTAAAGTGGAAAGTAAGGTCTCTTTTTCTTTGTATTTTAATTAAAACATGTTTTATCAATTTCGCCGCGTTTTGCTTAGTTTGAGCTGAATAGTCTTTTATCAGTCTACTATCTTCAAATTACTGTTTTCAATTACTGATTTCAAATTAGTTGCTATCAAACTCTACTGTTGCTGTACCATTTTGTAGATGGAATCTTCCTCTTTTCAATAGTTGACGCAATTGACTCGCTAAACTTATTGCTTTCCATATCCTATGGCCTTCTTGACAAATGAGGCATTTCATGTTTGATGTTCTCCTTTCTTTAAAGTTTCCATCTCTACCGTTCTCTCGTTTGTACGCTCCAGCTACAAACGAACTAGTTCTCTCAGAGGGACCCTTTTCCCATCTAATCTCTTACCTCCATCTTTCCTTACGACGCCAGAACAGAGATCTCCGAATTCATTGTTCACGAGTTTGGCTCTTTCTTCACAAACAAAGGAGATCTTTAAATTTAGGTCTAGAACCAGATTCGATAATAGAGCCCGCACATTCTGTCCACCTAACTCTCATAAATAGTGGTAGCTTACGATTTAATTCACGTAGGGTGTTCATATGGTCCAGCTCGCTTTCATATTCTGGCCCCATACTAGCAAGGGTTCTGTTTGCCACTTCCAGATGTCGAGTTAACTCCAACAAACTTGGTCCATCTGCTTGCTTCAATAGCGGCAAATTCATCAACTTTAGAACGTGAGCCTTTGCAATTATGCGCGGTTTGCCAAAATTTTCATACAGTGTATATCCAGTAGGATTGTGTATCTCAATAGCATCACGTGCTTTACCAGTGCAATGTTGTATTGGAGTTGAGTGAGTAAGAGATTATCTGGATTGTCCTTTTCTAAGCAAGTCTCAAAATTATGCATGAAAGGCATAATTTATTGCATCACCCTCAAAGTGCATATATTTGATTTTTGGCGAAACTACTTCTCTCAAGGCTTTACTATCTCGTCTCCTCCTCCTTCTTCCTTTAATTGGATCTGTTCGGCTTTTTGTTCAATTAAGTTCGTCATAGAAGCTGATTGTGATTCGCCTTCCGACGATCTTACAGTTTGATCTGGATTAGTTTTAGTTTTCTACGTTGGTACCTCCGACTGTTTTATTTGTGGTTCGGATTGATCTACTTCAACGATTTTCTCAAGTCCCCAACATTCCCTGGCTGGGGTATGCCTATGTTTGTACTAGCGAACTTTGCGGAACATACGCCTTTGCAAACGGTGACAGGTTTTTTGTTAGTTTTGATACCGTTACCGCTGTGGTCTTACCGTGGTCTTCTTCGAGTTCGATCTTTGCTTTTTCGCAGCAAGTGTTAAGGCTCACCAACGCTCCCTTTTCTTCCATTTTGGCTTCCATAGCCTCCTTTTTAAATCTTAATTCTGCCATTTTCCTTTCAAGTTCATGTTGTTTCGCTAACTGATCTCTCTTCAGCTGTGCAGGGCTAACATTTCTTTCCTTCTGGACACTATTGAAGACTTGGAACTATGGCTCCTTGACTTACTTGTTGAGCTTCTACTTGTTAGTAATGAAGGCGAACTAACCTCTTCTCCTCGTTGCTTTGCTTCTAATTTGGCATTCCTTTGCCAAGATCTGACCATTTCGTCCAGATGCACCTTTTGCCATCTGTTCTTTGTAGCTACGATTTGCTATTTCTCTTTCTTCATCTGGACGATTCAAAGATTATTTCGTATGAATGTTTTATGCAGTGCGGTGTTTATCATATCTGATATGATAATTCAAGGTATTTCATTATGAATGTTTTATGCAGTGCGGTGTTTATCATGAGTGATCATATCTCATTTAATTCAAGGTATTGTTCGTGAATGTCAACGAACGCCTTCCAATTATCATCATATTGTTTTTGCGTCTCTTGATTTTTGTCCAATGTTGCACCAAGAATGAATGCCTTCTTGTAACCATCCCTGATTCGAGTCAATAACGTTTATTGTTTCGTTTCGGTCTTCTCTATATTTGATTCCGATATTGGGTATTTAGTTCATTGTCGAACACTGTAAAGCCTACGTGTCTGAAGCCACTCAGATCTCGTTTTCTGTTCGACAATCCGCTCATTTGCAACACTATCGGCCAAGATTTTACTGACATAATCAGACTCCCAACTGTCAATCATTCCATATAATAATCCCAAAGGTTTTGTTGCGATGTCCCGTCCCGATTAAGCAAGTATATTCAGATAGCCGTTTCCTTCGAGCAATTAAATACATCGTCTGTAACGAGCGAACATAAATGAAAAACACCGTCCCTGACGCGAGAATATAGTTGAGATACAGATGAGATTCACCGTCCCTGACAAGCGAATATAGATGAAATACACGAATATAGATGAGATTCACCGTCCCTGACAAGCGAATATACATGAAATACACGAATATAGATGAGATCACCGTCCCCTGACAAGCGAATATAGATGAAATACACCGTCCCTGACGCGCGAATATATTGTTTACCAATTAACAATCGCGGTGTTTAGGTCCTTAACTGTTACTATCAAGTCGTCATACAACTTTGGATTAAGCAATTTAATGAAACAAACCAAATTACAATTTACTACCAAATTACTATCTTCAAATTACTGTTTTCGAATTACTGTTTTCAAATACTTTAAGGACCGTTTGGTCCCACGTACAATTCAACTACAACCAAATTGTGTTTTACTCTTATTAGACAACAACACCCTTTAAAAGGTGAAGGTAAGTTAAGACATCATTAGAACAGAGAAATTAGAGAGAGAAGAAAGAGAATTGAAGATTAAAATGAATTTTCAAGGTAAGATAGTGTACAACATTGCAATAAAAATACTTTAAAACTACGTTATCTTGTATTAGATATAAATGTTATTTTGATATTCATAGTCTAAAAGACTCTTAAAACAAGTTTTCATCAGGATGAAATAGAATTACATTACTTTATTTAGCAAAATCCACATAACATAAATCACCAAACGTTGTGATTATTTTAAAAGCTACAATTAGTCCATGTGACTATAAAATATCGCATAAAATATAGAAATAGAAAATATATTTTCAATGGCACAACACGTGTTACAAAACGATATTACATTACATGTACAATTGTACATTTTATCCTCAACACGTTAAACAATTAGGGAAACCCCAAACACTTACGAAAAATAGTAAAATAATTAACAGTTAGGAGAATGGGGAAGTCCCTCTAAACATTATCCATCCTCGTCCTGAATTTGTTCATGATTTGGATGTATGAGCTATTTTATAGCAATTACCATGAGAAATCATTTTATTTTAGTTAAACTTATCATATTCTTATCACGCTATTGTTTTAGAGGCTTTACGTAAAGGTGAAAAGTATCATTTACATCTTAACAACATTAAATATAATTGGACTAAAGGGGCAATATTTAGCAACAACGAAAGATTGTTTATATACAAAAATCTCCTCGAAACAGCAAAATTAGCTCACAAAATGTGCTGTAAAGCTGTAAAAAGCTTGGTTAGTATGTGTTATCATTTTAAACAAAAACAAATCGTCATCACTCTAGATTAGATTTATGGATGACTTTAAATTATTCATTCCATGGATTATCTTCAAACTTCCATATTCTATTACCTGGAGTTATCGTGGTTGCGAAAATACTCAATGGTTTCCGTAAACATTTCTGAAACGATAACACTGGTCGAATTCTTGTACTTTCTATGCTCCAGTATTGGTGGGGGTGGTATAGT